AAAAATTAGTGTATTTTGACAGATACTGTCCTGTGAAGAGGTAAAGCTTTGGCAATCGACCTTTTTTCATACCATTGTATTAGAAATATGGAGATAATCATAACAAACGAGGTCCAGTTATGATTCTGGGAAGAAATAAATACCACTTCATGGGCCGAAATATTTCATCCTACTTACAAACTTACTTTTTTCATATGAAAATATTAATTCGCAAAGCGTTATCTGGCTCACATGCTTACATTAAAAATCACTTAGAAAATTTCCCCTTAAAAACTTGCCAAATAATACTATTTGCTTATTCCATCTTTTTCTAACGCTAATCATAAAAAAATTTGAAATATAAGTGGCTGAAGGTGGAAACCATTGGTGACGCATACCTGTGCGTTTCGGGAGCGCCACGGCGTAATGGCATTGAGCATGGTCGAGAGATAGCAAATATGTCAATTCAACTGGTCAGCAAAATAAAGAACTTCAAAGTTGCTCACTTACCGGACGTTAAAGTGCAGGTTCGGATCGGAATGCACACAGGTATGCTTTCTATTATCAAAAACTTGCACTGATAGTTCTTGAAGTCCTAATTTCACCGTTGAGCATCTTTCCGCACCTGCTACTTTTTTGTTTTCTTCTGTTCCACATTAAGTGAACAGTCATTCAACAGACTGCAGATGTACAGGTAAATTTCCTATTTCACTGACAGCGATTGCAGATTGCAGATTTCAGTTCAAATCCCAAAAGCATTAATTAATGATCTATTTCCTCAGTCTGTTATCATTTGCCTTGCCTAACTGTTCTTTCCATGTGTATTGCCATCGTAAGGTTTTTTGCTCCAAAAATTTAATGCCTCGCTGATTCTGTGCTGCAATCTACGAAATATGAGACAACTGAACAAGTTTTCGGCATTTCGCGTTGGTTCTCTGAGTACAGCATTAAAAATTTCTGGCTAATTTCAAGGCTATTTTTATCTGCTACCCGTATTCCAGGCGCCCCGTAAGGGCCCCGTAAGGGCTCCTGGAATATGGGTAGCAGACAAAAATAGCCTTGAAATTAACCAGAAATGTTAGGAATCTGGAAACTCTGCATATCGTGCACGCAGTCAATTTCATCTTCCCAGATAAGTCAGACATGAGGAATCGTCAACTGCTGTCACTTACAAAAGACTGCTGCTCTTGACAAGTGTTTATGAGCTTACTTGTGTCGAACTTCAAATGCTGTTCGGTATTTTACTCCTCGTGAAAGACGGAAGTACTTGCAAATGAGCCGAATAGCAGAACTTTGCCAGTAACAACCACTGATTGAAAGGATTGAAAGACTCATGGCTGTGAGACTCATTCAAGATCAGCAATAAGTTATTAGAAATGGAACTGTTTAATTCAGGCCAATGCGCTGCCGGCGTTGTGGGTGTTACAATGCCTCGGTATTGCATATTCGGGGAGTCGATCAACATAGCCACCAAAATGGAAAGCCACAGCAAACGTAATTTCTGATTTTTACGCAAAAAAAAATGATTTTTTTTTCAAGCTGAACATGGCTAGATCGTGGTTTTTATGATAAAAGTGCGCTTTC